GGCCCGTGAGCCATGGCCGCTGAGCCTGCGCGTCCGGAGCCTGTGCTTCGCAACGGGAGAGGCCACAACAGTGAGAGGCCCGCGTACCGCAAAAAAAAAAAAAAAAAAAAAAATTGAATGCGTAGTTATTTCCTCACTCTGTCCCACACTACCCACATTCACTCCACTCTACTGCTCATTCACCTCCCTGCCATCCCCCTTTGTCTCTCCTTGCCCCCATTCATTCCCAATTTGTCCTTCATTCACCATTATTCACCGCCCCCTGCCCTCCCTGGTCCCACATGTCTCTGTTTAGTGACACATCTGCCAAGACAGAAAAGTCTGATGTATTGTTCAGGATTCAGTTTGGCTGCACATACCAATACCACCCTAAATACCAATAGCTTCAAGAGGATGGAAGGGGATTCCTCTCTTGGAGGGCTAGAGTGGCAGCTCCAAGCTCACCAGAGAGCTGGCTGCTCGTATGCTGTAGCTCTGCCAAACTCACCTGCTACCTCATGGTCCAAAATGATTGCTCACCATTGGCAACACTTCCACAGTTTTGAGAAAATGTATCTTAAGAGCAGTTTTAATGACTCACCAGCGAGGTGGGGGTGGCCTTTGGGTTGGAGTGTCACATCGTGCAGATTCTGTGGTGGGACCAGCTACCTGTCAGCTTTCCACACCCCTTCACCTAGCTACCTGCTGCTTAGGCCACTGAATGAGTTTGTACCTGTAGGGACTGATGGTAGAGGATGCCCAGGACAGAGAGTGGGCATCCTAGCTCCACAGCAGAAAATCTGGTTTCACATAGCTTGTGGATATGCACTGTGAACCCTGGGACAGTTTCTGCAGGGCTGTATCACTGGCTCAGAATATTTTTGGAGCTGGAAATCACTGTACCCCAACACCCACCAACCCTATAGGATTTCTCCCTCCACACAGGGGTGTGTGTATATATATGTGTGTACAAGGTGGTGGAGAAGTTATGTTTACAGGGTGGAAGAGGCCAGACTGACAGGGGCCCTAAAGGTCCAGCCCCTCCTATTTTCCACATCCTAATTCATTAAGAGAGTTGACAAGTTTTGTACCCAGGAGGTACAGATCCTTAAGAGAGCAAGAGACCTGAGTTACTTCCCTGCTTTCTCTCTTTGCTTTGTCTGCTAGGAAGCTCCATCTATATTCCTGCCCCCCCCCAAAAAAATTTCTTGCCTGGTTTTAATGGTTCTGGAATGAACACCCTCAGATATTTTCTGGAAGTTCTGTGGGATACTGAATAAACAAAAGAAGAGTATTATTGGGTAGAAGTTAAGGATCCGATCTTGGAAACCTGTGTGACTTTGGGCAAGTTACTTAGTCTCTCTGGGACTCAGTTTCCTCACCTAACAAGATGGGTGGGACCACAGGATTGTTCACAGAAAGTGGGGACTATCTGAGGCAGGTCATGTCATGTGCTTCACACAGTGCCTGGCCCACAGGAGATACTGAGCTAGGTCTGAGCCTCCATGATCACTTGCTGGGCCTGTTAGCAGGAGCCTCCTTATTGTTCTTCCTGTTTTCGCCCTTGCCCTCTGCAATCTGTCATCCACAAAGCAGCCTGCAGGTCATCTTTTTATTTTTTTCTTCTTATTAAAAAAAGTTTTATGCATACACACGTCTAATTTTATTTTAATCATCATCATCAGTTACACAGCACTTGCTGTGTTCCAGGCATTGTTCTAAGCCATTTACAATTATCAGCTCATTTGTCACAACAGTCCTAACGAGGTAGGTGCTGTCATTATCCCCCATTTTATAGATGAGGAAATTCAGCACAGAGGAGTTGAGTCCTGCCCTAGATTACACAGCTGGTAGGTGGGAGTTTGCAACCAGGCTGTCTCCATCACGTTTGTTTGTTTGGTTGGTTCTGTTTTCTCTCCTGCAGTATTCCCAATATGTAGAACACTACCTGGCATATGGGAGGTGCTTAAGCAAATTTCTGCGGAGCTCATGTGCTAGGGGTAAAAGACAGGCAATAAACAAGAGTCTAATCTACGTGTATTTTTAAAGTTAATATATAATGCTGGATTGCTTCAGACTGGTGTTTTAAAAATCTGATCCCCCTTAATGGCATCCCATTATGTCAGAATGAGACATGAGCTCTGTCCCTGGCAGAGGAGGCCCTACAGCATCTGGCACCCACTCACTTCTCCCTTGCCCACACCTTCTATATGCCCAACACACTGACACTGTTTCTGTTCCTCCAACGTGCCAAACCAGGTCCTACTTCAGGGCCTTTTTAACAGCCGCGCCCTCCACCACAAAGCTCTTTGCTTCAAATATTTGTGCGGCCGGCTCCTTTTGACCAGCGTAACTGTCACCCCCGACAAAAGGAGATCGTCCCTGCCCATCCTGAGACAACAACATTGTCAGTCACTACTTAACACATCCCCTTCATCCCGGTGTGTGTGTGTACTAGGTGGCCATTTATTTATTCTTCAACTTCTTGTTTGTCTGCACACCGTCCTTCAAACGCTAGGCTGTAAACTCCCAGCCTTAGCCACTGGATGGAGCCAGTGACCTCTCCCTACCTCCTAGCCTTTGTGCATGCTGAGCAATTCCGCCACGCATCCCGACTTCCTATTCAATTACACCTGCAAACCCGATACTGCCCTCCAGGTTCAAGACATGAAATTCCTGCCTGCTAGCATTCTCCTTAATTGGGCCCTTTCCCTCCCTCCATAAGGAAACCGATCTTTGGAGTCTTAGGAATGACGGCCTCCGCAAATCAAAGTAAGCACCTGTTCTACACTGCCGCCCTCGAAGGGAAGAGACGCAGTGGGCGCGGCCATCGTTTCAGAGCAGTGACGTCACCGGAGCGGCCATCTCCCCTCTGCGCCTGCGCTGCAGCCCCGTCGCATTCGCGTCCGGCAGGCGGGAGGGGTCCCCATGTTGACTATTGGTGTACGCGGGCTCAAAGCCCCCACTGAGCGTGCGCACACCGGCCGCTACAGCCCTCTGGGCTGCGGAGCCGGAGTTGGTCCCAAAGCGGAAGTGCTTCTTGGGGCCAGTTTTCGTAACGGTCTCCTCTGCAGCGAGCACAAAATCTGTGTCGAGAGAGAGGTTGAGGGGGCGAGTAGTAGGGGTGATGGGCTGAGTGATGGGGAGTTCTGGGGGACGAATGAAGCGGGTGTTGGGGGGGTCACTGATGTGGGAGGTTGTGGGGTGGACCGAGAGGTCAGCGAATGAGGGTTTGTGGGCTCAATGGTAGACAAAGTTATGGGGCTAGTCGGGGTTGAATGGGGCATATTAAACGTTGACTTTTACACATTTTCCAGCACAGTGACCTGCGCTAAGGGTTCATACGCACCCCTCAAGCTCCTCCTTAGGCGCCCCCGCCTCTCCCTCTGTTCCTCTCCCCTTGCCCGAGCCCCGAGGTAGAGGCCTTGTGTGAATGCTCCAGCTGAAGTGAATCTGCACCCGAAGGCTTCCTTTTGGCTCCTGGGCAAGACGTCCCCAGTGAGGTGAGGAGAAGCAAGAAGAGGCACCAGAGAGAACTCACCTGATTAGGGGCCTCGCGCAGAGCCTGGGGCTTGGGAGGCGTGGGCAGGGTCTTGTGTTGTGGGGTCAGGCGGGGTGGGGGTGGGGATGGGGCTTAAAACGCCTGGGAATAATAGTGTTACAGTTCAGTGGGGTTTTTTGGCATTTAACACGTAAGTAACACATTTGCATTATAGATTGATTAGAAAATAGAGAAGAAAATAAAAAAGAACTAATTTTAGCCCCCTCTGTTTAAATGTTCATTCTTTAGACACTTTTTAGTGTGTATAAGGGATATGCATTTTTAAACATTTAACGTATGGTTTTAAAATGGGTTCCTTAAGTTTGATAACCTGCCTTTGTTTTCATTTAGAAGTTACTGCGATTCAGCTTAAAGATTTATTCTGTAACATTTAAAAAACTTGTAATTTAGATATATGTACAGAAAATACACAGATAATAAGTGTACAGTACCATACAACATTATTTTCAGTAGCTACATAGAATTTAATCCCTTGTATTTCCTTATTAATCCCATATCATGGGTCATAGAGGATCGTTTAAGTTTGGCATTGTTAAAGTCAATGCTGAGATGAAGGTACTTAAAGAGAAATTATGATACATTATTTCATTAAGGAAAATACCTAGAAATACAATTTCTGAGTCAGTACACAAGTATGTATAGAAGAAAACCTTTTGTGTTAGATGTTCACATGAGGAAAATACTCAAGAATACACAAGTGGTTGTTAAAACCACATGGTCGCCCAAACTTCCACAGAGCAGCTTCATGTGAGGGGATTTCTAGGCCGATAATTCTGGGCACTGGAAGCCTGATGGGGTCTCTCATATGCTCTCCACTTCTCCACTCTTTTAGCTCAGGCTTCACACATCTGTCTTTTCCCAAGAAGAGCAGGAAATGGCCAAAGCCCAGGTAAGGATATTGTGTGTTCCTTCTTTTATTTTACCATGAATGTGATGAGTGATGTAGGAATCTCAGACATAAAAGAAAATTATTTATAAATAAGCATTAGAATCAGGGAAAATGAGACAGCAGCAAGGCCAGGTTAGAATGTAGACAAATGACTTAGGGCAACAGACAGTTATGCAGTACAATATTAGTTGAGTTGCAAATTTCTCTTTGAGCCTCTGGCAGCCAGAGGTAGTCTGGCTCACTTTACTCATCAAGGAGAGAACACATCAAGCCCTCAGGGAAGTAAAGGTTTCCTGCAATTGCCTTTCAAGGCATTTCTTTGCTGAATCTTCGTGTGAATGGTGGAATTGTCGTCAATCACAGCCTAATGATAAATGCAGTCTCTGGTTTCCTGCAGATATTCCTTATAGCATTCTTCAGTGAGCTGGAGACATAATATCTAGATGTAATTTGGGAATGAAATATCTTAGGGAATTTGTTTGTCTTCCAAATGATTTTGCTGAAGTAATTTTCTCAGTTGGACTTTTGATTCTCATTTGGCCAGGGACAAAGTCCTGTAGGCACCCACAGCCCACCATCTTTTTTCTTTCACTTAAATTTTTTTTATTTTTAAAATTAGTGTACTGTAAAATTGATTTTGTTGTTCAGGTCGATAAATGTTAACACCTGTGTAGATTGTTATAACTAATCTATGGGATAGAGAATAGTTTCATCCCACCAAAGAGCTGCCTCATGCAACCCCTTTTAGTCATATCCTCCCCTCCCTGTAACCTCAGGCAACCACAGACCTGTTCTGTGTCACTAGAGTTTTATCTCTTCAGGAATGTCATATAAATGGTATCATACAGTATATAACTTTCCTTTTTTCAAATTAAACTTTCTTTTGCAACAATTGATTGACATGCAGTTGTAAAAATAATACAGAGAGATCTTTACCCAGTTTGCATCAATGGTAGCATCTTGCAAAATTATAGCACAATGTCACAACCAGGATATTCACATTGATATGGTTAAGACACAGTTCCATCACCACAAGGATCCCTTATGTTACCCTTTTATAGCCACATCAATCCCTTTCCCCCCCTCACCCTATGCCTAGACTTCTAGCAATTACTGATCTGTTCTCCATTTCTAGAATTTTGTCATTTCAAGAATGTGATATAAATCAAAGCACATAGTCTGTAACCTTTTGAGATTGGATTTATTTTCACTCAGTATGATTCCCTGGAGATTCAGCCAAGTTGTGTGTGTCCATAGTTCTTTGCTTTTTAGTGCTGAGTGGCATTCCATGATGTAGATGTACCACAGCTTATTTATCCATTTTCCTTTTGAAAGACATTTGAATTATTTTCAGTTTTTGGCAGTTGTGAGTAGAGCTACTTTAAACATTCATATACAGGTTTTTGTGTGAGCATATGTTTTCATTTCTCTAGAGTAAATATTGGATTGCTGGGTCATGTGGTAAGTGTATGGCTTAACTTTTTAGGAATCTGCCAAATTGTTTTCTAGGATGGTTGAATTATTTTTCATTTCCACCAGTAATGTTTAAGAATTCCAATTGCTTCACATTTTTGCCAGCACTTGGTATTGTCAGTACCGTTGACACTTGAATAACGCTGGGGTTAGGGGCACTGACTCCCCCAGTAGTTGAAAATCCACCTACAGTCGGCCCTCTGTATGTGTGTTTCCAACTAACTTGCAGATCGTGTAGTACTGTAGTATGCATTTACTGAAAAAAATCCACATATAAGTGGACCCATGCAGCTCAAACCCATGTTGTTCAAGGGTCAACTGCGTTTTTAATTTTACTCATTCTAGTGTGTAGTGTTATCTCATAATGGCTTTAATTTGCATTGTCCTAATGGCCAATGATGTTGAATATCTTTATAAATACTTATTTACTTTTTACATATCCTCTTTGGCAAAGTGTCCAATCAGGTCTTCTGCCCATTTTTAAATTGGATTGTTTGTTTTATCACTATTGAGGTTTTTAAAAATTAATTAATTAATTTATTTTTGGTTGGGTCTTCGTTGCTGTGGGCGGGCTTTCTCTAGTTGTGGCGAGCGGGGGCTACTCTTCGTTGCGGTGCGCGGGCCGCTCACTGTTGTGGTCTCTCCCATTGCGGAGCACAGGCTCTGGATGCGCAGGCTCAGCGGCCGTGGCTCACGGGCCCAGCCGCTCCGTGGCATGTGGGATCTTCCCGGACCGGGGCAGGAACCCGTGTCCCCTGCATCAGCAGGTGGACTCTCAACCACTGCACACCAGGGAAGCCCTATTTTTAATTTTTTCAAGAACCTCTATACTGTTTTCCCTAATGGCTGCACCAATTTACATTATCACTAACAGTGCACAAGGATTCCCTTTTCTCCACATCCTTGCTGACACTTGCTATTGCTTGTCTCTTTGATAATGGCCATTCTGACAGGTGTGAGATGATAACTCATTGTAGTTTTGATTTGCATTTCTCTGATGATTAATGATGTTGAGCATTCTTTCATGTGTTTGCTGGCAATCTGTATATCTTCTTTGGAGAAATGTCTATTTAGGTCTTCTGCCCAATTTTGGATTCAGTTGTTTGTTTTTTTGATATTGAGCTGCATGAGCTGCTTGTAAATTTTGGAGATTAATCCTTTGTCAGTTGCTTCATTTGCAAATATTTTCTCCCATTCTGAGGGTTGTCTTTTGGTCTTGTTTATGGTTTCCTTTGCTGTGCAAAAGCTTTGAAGTTTCATTAGGTCCCATTTGTTTATTTTTGTTTTTATTTTCATTTCTCTAAGAGGTGGGTCAAAAAGGATCTTGCTGTGATTTATGTCATAAGAGTGTTCTGCCTTTGTTTTCTTCTAAGACTTTGATAGTTTCTGGCCTTACATTTAGGTCTTTAATCCATTTTGAGCTTATTTTTGTGTACACTGTTAGGGAGTGTTCTAACCTCATACTTTTAAGGTACCTGTCCAGTTTTCCCAGCACCACTTATTGAAGAGGCTGTCTTTTCTCCACTGTATATTCTTGCCTCCTTTATCAAAGATAAGGTGACCATATGTGCGTGGGTTTATCTCTGGGCTTTCTATCCTGTTCCGTTGATCTATATTTCTGTTTTTGTGCGAGGACCATACTGTCTTGATTACTGTAGCTTTCTAGTATAGTCTGAAGTCAGGGAGCCTGATTCCTCCAGCTCCATTTTTCGTTCTCAAGATTGCTTTGGCTATTCGGGGTCTTTTGTGTTTCCATACAAATTGTGAAATTTTTGGTTCTAGTTCTGTGAAAAATGCCAGTGGTAGTTTGATAGGGATTGCATTGACTCTTTAGATTGTTTGGGTAGTAGAGTCATTTTCACAATGTTGATTCTTCCAATCCAAGAACATGGTGTATCTCTCCATCTATTTGTATCATCTTTAATTTCTTTCATCAGTGTCTTATAATTTTCTGCATACAGGTCTTTTGTCTCCTTAGGTAGGTTTATTCCTAGATATTTTATTCTTTTTCTTGCAATGGTAAATGGGAGTGTTTTCTTAATTTCAGTTTCAGATTTTTCATCATTAGTGTATAGGAATGCCAGGGATTTCTGTGCATTAATTTTGTATCCTGCTACTTTACCAGATTCATTAATTAGCTCTAGTAGTTTTCTGGTAGCATCTTTAGGATTCTCTATATATAGTATCATGTCATCTGCAAACAGTGACAGCTTTACTTCTTCTTTTCTGATTTGGATTCCTTTTATTTCTTTTTCTTCTCTGATTGCTGTGGCTAAAACTTCCAAAACTATGTCGAGTAAGAGTGGTGAGAGTGGGCAACCTTGTCTTGTTCCTGATCTTTGTGGAAATGCTTTCAGTTTTCCACCATTGAGGATGATGTTGGCTGTGGGTTTGTCATATATGGCCTTTATTATGTTGAGGAAAGTTCCCTCTGTGCCTACTTTCTGCAGTGTTTTTATCATAAATGGGTGTTGAATTTTGTCGAAAGCTTTGTATGCATCTGTTGAGATGATCATATGGTTTTTCTCCTTCAATTTGTTAATATGGTGTATCACATTGATTGATTTGCATATATTGAAGAATCCTGGCATTCCTGGAATAAACCCCATTTGATCATGGTGTATGATCCTCTTAATGTGCTGTTGGATTCTGTTTGCTAGTATTTTGTTGAGGATATTTGCATCTATGTTCATCAGTGTTATTGGCCTGTAGTTTTCTTTCTTTGCGACATCCTCGTCTGGTTTTGGTATCAGGGTGATGGTGGCCTCGTAGAATGAGTTTGGGAGTGTTCCTCCCTCTGCTATATTTTGGAAGAGCTTGAGAAGGATAGGTGTTAGCTTTTCTCTAAATGTTTGATAGAATTTGCCCGTGAAGCCATCTGGTCCTGGGCTTTTGTTTGTTGGAAGATTTTTAATCACAGTTTCAATTTCAGTGCTTGTGACTGGTCTCTTCATATTTTCTATTTCTTCCTGATTCAGTCTTGGCATGTTGTGCATTTCTAAGAATTTGGCCATTTCGTCCGGGTTGTCCATTTTATTGGCATAGAGTTGCTTGTAGTAATCTCTCATGATGTTTTGTATTTCTGCAGTGTCAGTTGTTACTTTTTCTTTTTCATTTCTAATTCTATTGATTTGAGTCTTCTCCCTTTTTTTCTTGATGAGTCTGGCTAATGGTTTATCAATTTTGTTTATCTTCTCAAAGAACCAGCTTTTAGTTTTATTGATCTTTGCTATCGTCTCCTTCATTTCTTTTTCATTTATTTCTGATCTGACCTTTATGATTTCTTTCCTTCTGCTAACTTTGGGGTTTTTTTGTTCTTCTTTCTTTAAGTGCTTTAGGTGCAAGGTTAGGTTGTCTATTCGAGATGTTTCCTGTTTCTTAAGGTAGGATTGTATTGGTATAAACTTCCCTCTTAGAACTGCTTTTGCTGCATCCCATAGGTTTTGGGTCGTCGTGTCTCCTCTGTCATTTGTTTCTAGGTATTTTTTGATTTCCTCTTTGATTTCTTCAGTGATCACTCTGTTATGAAGTAGTGTATTGTTTAGCCTCCATATGTTTGTATTTTTTACAGATCTTTTCCTGTAATTGATATCTAGTCTCATAATGTTGTGGTTGGAAAAGATACTTGATACAATTTCAATTTTCTTAAGTTTACCAAGGCTTGATTTGTGACCCAAGATATGATCTATCCTGGAGAATGTTCCATGAGCACTTGAGAAAAATGTGTATTCTGTTG